TATATATATATATATATATATATATATATATATATAATATATAAATATATAAATATATGAAAAATTGATGTGGGTACTCAAATGAAAGGTCTCAATGAGTATAATGTCGGGATGAGCTTATATCTTTAAAAATGTCAATGGTTCACAAGATACACGGTCATTTCTTAAATACGTATCTAGAGATAGAGAATTTTCGAATGCAGTCTAAATACTTATCATCATAAAGTGACTATCAGTGAGAATGATATAAAATCTTAAAAATGCACAAATTCAAATTAAGATCTTTGTAATGACACTTAATTTAGCAATCACCTGATAATTTTTCAATTTCATTTATTAAACAAATTTATTCCAAAAAAAGTTTTTTTTTTTCAATAACAATCTGATTGACTTTCAGAGTGACTTTAGTCGCGCCGTTGGAGATTCTGGACAAGTGCGAGGTGAACTACGGAGACAAACTAGAAGGCTCGAAGAAACCAGCCCGTACGAAGAAGAAAACCAAGTAGCGTCTAAGGAGCTCTTCAGTTGCCATTAACTGCTGTGGAATTGACGGAGCACCAGTATTGAGCGATAAAAGTATAAGTATTCCAGATATACTTGCTCGCGGGTGGGCGAAGGTAAGACGTAAGACGTAAATAAGCGGTTATTTTTAAATAAAAGTAATCACTATAAAAGTGATTTTAATACACGGCTCCGGGTGTGTAAAAAATAGTGTGTAAAAAAAACTCTTCCATAATATTTTCTCAGAATCACGACTGACCAACGAAATTACTCAGAGCCTTGCTGTAAATATTTACAATCTTATTATTTTTAGTTACTGAAAAAATATCAAATCAAAATTTATAATAAAAGTGAATATTTAACACTGTAAAATTTTTTTCAAAATTGCAAAAAAAAATTTAGCAGTAATTTTCTTTTATGGTATAAATTATAAACTATATTTAAAATTTAAATAATAAATTTACAATATTAAAAGTCTATTTTAAATAATTATGAATAAAAAATAATTTTTATGCGCAAAGCGCAGAGTCAATGATTGAATTGAAGACTATTGATTTAATGGAAAGACATGATTGAGAAAGACTATTATTAAAATCATCCGTTCCGACGATTTTTACGTTGCCGTCGGTTCTTTTTGCTCGAGAGGATTTCGTAGGCCTCTTGGATTTCCATGAATCGATTTTGCGCGGCCCTACGCTCTTCCTCAGAGCCCTTTACTTTGTCGGGATGATGTTCTTTGGATAACATTCGCCATTTAGTTGTGATCTCACTTTCTGACGCTGTTTGAGAAAGTTCTAAAACCTAAGACAAATATATATATATATATGAGTAGATATATATAAATACATATTTATGTATATATTTATATTAACATGGAGTTTTAAAATTATAGATTATAAATATTTATAATAAATTATTTTATACATACTTTGTACGCGTTCATTTCTCCACGTAAATCTGACATGTCTACTAATTGTTGCCATGTTGCCCAGAATCCTTGATTCTTCACTTGCTCCCATGTAGCCCATAGAGTTGTCTGAAACCGATAATTTAAATTTATATTTTATTAATTCATAAATAAAATTAGTAAGTGTTTTAAATTTAAAAATTAAATTATCAATTAATTTTAGTAAAACTTATAATAATAAAGAGTACAGTAGCGCTCAAAAGTATTTTGATAAAATATATCGATCGTATTCCACAAAATTTGACATATTGACTTTTTTTGAAAAATAGAATCACTATAATATTATGCAACTCATATTATAAAATTTTTAAAGGTCAAATAGTTTAATAACTATTTTTAAATAAATATTTTAATCCGCTGAATCCCATTTAATCAATGTTAAAAATTAACTGTTTTTACTGTCTGCTGTAAAATTTTCTAAATGTGGGATACGGCGTATTAGAATGGCAGTATCGATACTCAAAAAAAATATTAAAAAATTATTTCTTCACTTCTAAATAATTGATCGAACGTCAAAATTTTTTTAAAAATATTCATGTCATTTTATTTGTCTATTAAAAAATTTAATTAGATAATTTTCTAATTTTGTATAGTCAAGAAACGTTGAAACTATGTCTAATTGAAAATTTGTGCCGCAATTTTAAAATAAATTATTCTAATTTTTAATATTACAACAAAAATATCGGTCCTATAAAAAAAAAAATTGTTTTCATCAAAAATTGTTTAAAATTTAATTTTATAAAAAAAAAATGTTTTTTATGATTTTTTACAAAACTCCAATATTTTTGGTGTAATTTCAAAAATAAGACTCATAATGATAGGTTCAAACTTTTTGATAATTATGAATCTTATTTTTTAAATTACACTAAAAATATTGCTCCTATAAAAATATTTTTTCGACAAAAGTTATTTAAAATTTAATTTTACATTAAAAAATTAAATTTTAAACAACTTGTTAAAAACAAATTTTTATAAGACCAATACTTGCACTGTAATATAAAAAATTTGAACCATTCATCATGACCGATTACTTTGAATTTGCGTAAAAATTTTTATCATAAAATAATAAACAAATTAAATATATAAATAACTTACTTTTAAATCCAACCACATCGGAGAAGTAAAAAAATGTTTAACAGCCTCAGATAATTTTATTTCTTCCCCTTCGCTGTCAGTAACAACAGCATTGAAGTAGAAGTAGCTCGTCCAGAGCGCCAAGTACAATGCAAGAGCCAGAGAAAAAGTAATTACCCGTTTTCCCACCGATTTTTTTTCCCGAGGCTTGAGTCTCCATTGCTTGCTAAATGTGTCGAAGACCAGAGCGTCTACAACGACCATCAAGCTCAACCAGGTGCTGTCATCGCCGATGTAGTAGAGTGTCGGGTACATCAGGTACGAGCACGCCAGAGTCAGCCAGAGAGAACCTTGCTCCCGACCGATGTTTCCTATCACCCACACACCTGCAATTGTTATTTTTAATTACTCATTACTCATCAGAGCAAATAGTGCATGCATATAAGTATCATAAATTATAACTAATAACTAATGAATATTTATCGCTATCGCGAGAGATAACAATAACTGCAAGGTAGAACTGTTTGGAATGAATATTATTTAATATCACGTTGAAAATTTACCTAGAGCGACTGCTAGAGGCACAAAGATCATCAAAGGCCGTAAATTGTACCCGTGAATTTCATCCTGAGGAATTGCTGACCAGAGTAACAAACCCCAGAAATATCCGACTATCAAAGCACCGATGAATCTCACAGTCGAAAACGTCGGCTGGAAAATACATTTTTTTTTATTGAAGTTTGGAAATAATTTAATATAGAATTTTATGGTACTGAGTTTGAGAGACATCTGATAATTTTTATAATTTTTTTAATTAATAAAATATTTCAAGAAAAATTTATTAAAAAAATTCCATTTTTAGAAGTTCAAAAAAATTATTTTCTAGATCTAGTTTATTTATAAAAAAAAATTATCAAGTGTCTGCTGATATATGATACTAAAATTAATCGACATTCAACAATTTTTATTTTTTTTTCAACAATTTAATTATGTTTTCTTGTTAATTAATCTGGTATTAATTTGACAAGGGTTTTGTGATTTTTTTTAATTAAAAAGATCACAAATATTTCGTTGGGGTTGGAGTTGGGGAATTGTTGTTAAACGAGAGGATTCTGGAAAGGGTATTATTTATTTAACGTAGGGTTATTTAAACGAAGTGTGGGAAGATTTGCTAAGTTGAAAATAGTCTGGTTGTCATCTGATAAACAGATGGGTTGTAAGTCAAGTCATTAAAGGGATTATTTGACAATGGCAATTACTTGAGTTTGACTGTCATAAATTTCCGAATTTTAACTTTTATGACGTCTTTGTTAAAAGTCTGTCGAATATTTTAAAACATAAGTAAACTTAAGAGTATAGTATAATTTTTTCATAACTTATAAAAAATTAAGATACATAACTAAACAAATTGCGAGTAAGAAAAAATTGAAAAAAATTTTAAGATGTCTACTAATTTAACTTTTATAAAATTGAGAGACATCTGATAATTTTTAGAAATTTTTTAACAAATAAAATATTTATTTTAAAAATTCCATGTTTAGAAGTTCTAAAAAATTTTTTTCTAGATAAAATTTTTTATTTTAATTTTTTTTTCAATAAAAATTTCCAGATGGCTAATTTAATTTTGATAGCTAGGTAATTTCAACGTTCTTAGAACTGTTTATTTTTCTGCCTATAAATTATTCACCTTTTTATTGTGCCTGACTGCAAGCTTGAAGCTTTCAACGAAATGCGGATGATTATTAACGTCATCGACGTACGTAGAAATTCGTAGTAAATCTCTTAGCCAACCGATCCCAAAGTACCCTCCTAGAGTCGTTAACCATATAAAAGCATGCGCGTCACGACCTAGGTACAGGTGGTGTGCTCCAAATATCCCGCCAAACACCCACCAGAAGTAGGCCCAGAATTTTGATTTTAATTTTCTTTCTGGTACAATTGTTCCGTTTGAATGAACTTTTTTGCTCGTCTCCTTTGTTCCGTTTGTCAGCTCCATTTTTGTTGATAAACTGGAATAAAAATAATTCAAACAAATTACATCAAGTCAATATATTTTAATAAAATAATATTTAAAATTTTTAATTATTGATAATTATCACATGAATTTTTAAATGATTAAAAATTAGTTCTGGAGTTCCGTGACCTTGAAAAGGTCTTAAAATATTTTATTTTCGACACATAGACTCTAAAACGGAGTTTTGTCACTGAGAAAAATGACACGTAGTCACGAGTATGTTAAGTCGGCATTTTTAAACTGCATTAAAACTATTGTAAGTTTGTTAGATCAAATGGTTTGTGTCAAATGCACACTCAGGTGCTTATATATATATATATATATATATTTTCATATATACATATAGTATATAAAGAGAGTAGTAAACTGTATCTCACCTCTTCTTACTTCACTAATGGCTGTGCGTCCGTTAAACTACAGCACAGGTAAACTGCAACCGTAAACACACGTCAGTACCTGAGAAATAACGGGAATAAGCCTGACGTGGATTCATTACAGAGGATTCCTTTTCCCTCTCTTCTACCTATTTCTTTAAAATATATTTTCTTCCTTCCATTTCCACCGGTTTTATATACTCATACACCTTGATCTTGACCATGAGCTATCAAAAGTAGGCCCAGTGACTTTAATAATTAATAATTGTTTATGAAAATTAAGTTCGCCGACATCTAAAAATTTTTATAATTTTTTTTATTGAAAAAATTAATATAAAAAAAATTTTTCATTCATAAAATACTTGAAAAACTATAAGTGCTTTTTTTAAAAAATATTTTTTAATTCTAATTAAATAAATGAAAAAAAATTAAAAACGTCGGCTAACTTTTTAATGAAAATTAATTTAGCTGATATTTAGTAATTTTAAGAATTTTTTTAACAAATAAATTATGACAAAAAAGTTATAAAAAAAAATATGACATGTAGAAATTTTAAAAAATTGAAAATACAATTTTTAAAAAATAGTTTTTTGAAACAAATTTATTTGTTAAAAAAAAATGGTCAAGTGACTGCTAACTTTAATGTCATAACTTTTTAATATTAACAATTGTTTTACTTACATTCCACTTTTAGTAATTTATTTTTTTCTTTAAAAATTATCTTCATTATTTCTTCACCTGAAATAATTTATAAAATTATTAATTAAAAATATTTTTTTTTAATTCAATTTTAGGTTAAAAAAAAACAAAAAAATTTGTCAATAAATAAAAATTTTAAAAAATTAAAGAAGAAATTTAAAAATGTTAATTAAATTATATTAGGTATTTTTGTGTTTATGATTTAAAATCTGTATTACCGGCTGAGAAGAAATGACAATAAAAAAAAAGAATCTAAGACACCGGACTAAAAAAAAGATGGCTGTCATAAAAGCACATGAGCCACAAAACGTTGTGACGGGTGGTAAATTAACTTGGTTAAAAGTTTGTTATTTACTTTTTATAGATAATAACAACGAGTGATAGTAATAAATGATGTGTTATGGAAGAATATAATTGTGAAAAAGTTAAATTGCGTCATAAGGAATGGAGAAAGATTGTTAAAAAAGAACGACGTAAACGGGTAAGACAGAAAACCGCTCAGCTGAGAGATGCCGAGGAGAAACAGCTGCAGGTGGCGCTCGAGAGAAGTGCGGGATATTTGAACTGGCTTCTTGAACAGAAATTGTTGCAAGAGGAGAAAGAGAGGAAGAAAGCGGAAGAGTTGGCGGAACAAGAAAAACAATGGCTGGAAAATGAGGTAATTTTTACTTTTTTCTTTGACAATTATAATTAAGTCAGCTGGTAATTATTTTAGTTCTTACAAAAGATTAATTACCGTAATATAAATGCTTTTGAAATTCGTCCGATAACTGAGATTAATATTTTAGAAATTGTCGGACGACTAAAGTATAATTATTTGTCCGATAACTCAGAAGAGGATTGTTTATATAGATAATTAATTTATATTATTAAAATTATCGGACAAATAATTATTTTTAAATTCGTCCGATAATTGAGATTAATATTTTTTTTTTATTTTATAACAGTATTATTAATATCACTGAAGTTGACAGACAGACAGACAGACATTAGAAATTTTTTTTAAAGTTTATAGTAATTAAATAATTACAAAAAAAAAATAACAAAATTACACTTATGAAAATTAAAAAAAAAAATTATTAGTATCAAGAGCTTTCATTTGAGTACCCACATTCATTTTGATATATTTTTCATATATACATATATGTAATATATATATATAAATATATGAAAAATTGATGTAGGTACTCAAATGAAAGGTCTTGATCAGAGTAACATCGGGATGAGCTTATATCTTCAAAAATGTCAATATTTCACAAGATACAAGGTCTTTACTAAATAATGACTTTTGTTAAATTACACTGTACTTTTCTAAATATTAACGTTTTTAAAGATATAAGCTTATCCTGATGTTACACTCATCAAGAGCTTTCATTTGAGTACCCACATGCATTTTTATATATATTTTCATATATTCATCATATATATAAAATATATGAAAAATTGATGTGGGTACTCAAATGAAAGGTCTTGATGAGTGTAACATCATAATGAGCTTATATGTTTAAAATGTCAATATTTCACAAATACACGATCATTTCTTAATTTGATGTGGGTACTCAAATGAAAGGTCTTGATGAGTGTAACATCATAATGAGCTTATATGTTTAAAAATGTCAATATTTCACAAAATACACGATCATTTCTTAATTATGTATCTAGAGATAGAGCATTTTCGAATGCAGCCTAAATACTTATCATAATAAATTGACTATCATTGAAAATCAAGTGAAACTTTGAAAAGGTACAAATTCAAATGAAAACCTTTGCAATGATACTAAATTTTACTAAAAAAACCAATTTTATCTAACTATCCTAGCCATCAAATTTTTCTTATTCTCTTAATAATATAGAAGATTAATTATTTCGATTTTAGTAACTAATTATAAATAAAATTTCAGGTCAGAGCTCAAAAAGAATGGCAAGAATCTCAAGAGCGCAAAGCTCGAGCCCGAGCGGAACAGCTGCGCCAAGAAGAAATAATAAGAAAAGAATTTGAAGAAAAGCAAGAAGCGCTAAAGAAAAAGCGTGAAGAAATAAAGCGTCTGCAGGACGAAGAAATTAACAGACAAGTACAATTAGAAAAAGAGATAGATGATTACATAGACAACGGCGTAAGAACTCCTGAATATTTGCGGTTAACAAGCGACACGCACCCAACAAAGGAGCCGTGTGTGTTCTTTACCAAAACTGGAGCTTGCAAATACGGCGACGCTTGTTCCAGGAACCACCAAAGAAAATCTTTGACCAAAGTGATCCTAATTCCCGGTTTCTACTATCACTTTTCGCTGGAAAAGAATTCTAATGAGTATGACACCGACGTGGGACTAGAGTTTGAGTCTTCAGAAACGCGTAATCACTTCAGGGAGTTTTACAAGGACGTAGTACCTGAACTGGAGAGCTTCGGTAGAATCCGGACTCTTAAGTGTTGCTTCAACAGCGACATCCATCTCAGAGGAAATTTGTACGTAGAGTATGAGACTGAGCGAGAAGCTGCCAGGGCCTGGAGGAAGCTCAGAAGCCGCTGGTACGCTGGAAGACAACTTAATTGCGAGTTTGCTAATATTGTGTCCTGGAGGAACGCCGTCTGTGGGATGTTCCACTGTCCTAAGGGTCGGGGTTGCAATTTTATTCACGCTTTCAGGAACCCTGGAGATGAGTACGACATCAAAAGTCCGCCTTGGCGCGCTGTTAGGGCCAATAGAGAATCCACCAACAGCCGGAGAGACAGGATGGAAGAAGAATCTAGGAGAAGAGATGACACTCATCGGAATTGGAGATGGTCTGAGTCCCCAGAAGTGGAGATGGAAGATATAAGCTCGAAGAAAGAGAAGGAGAGACTGAAATCTAGAAGACGATCGGAAACTCCATCCTCGAGGTCTGAAAGACATTCTAAGGGTAGAGATTCTAGGAGGGATAAGAAGACTTCTAGAAGACATTCGTCAGAATCTAGGTATGATTATTTTAAAAAGAAGAAAAGAAGAAGTGATAAGGATAAAGAAAATGGAGAGTTGAGGGAAAATAAATTGAGGAAGAAATCTAAAGAAGATATGGCAAGGAAGTCTAGAAGAGATCAAGGAAAAATTCGCACTGGTTGGGACACTACTGATTCAGAGGATAGTTCTTAATAAAATGTAAATAATTTTATTTTTATAATTAAAAATTACTTACTCTATAAAACGCTAGTGAGATTTCAAAAGAAAATCTTATGCAAGTTTTTTTAAAACTATTAAATTTTTTTACGAAATTAAATTAGCCAACGTTTGGAAATTTTTATTATTTTTTTTTTTATTAAAAAAAAATTGAAAGAAAAATTTTCACTTGTAGATTTGAAAAATTCTAAGTACATACAATATTTTTTAAGTATTTTTTTACTGAAATTTAATTTAAAAAATTAAAAATGTCGACAAATTTTAGTTTTATATTTTTTTTTTTTAATTATAGAGAAGAGATTGTAAGAGAAGAGAAGACACTCATCGGAACTGGAGATAGTCTGAGTCTCCAGAAGTCGAATTAGAGGCTGTAAGCTTGAAGAAAGAGGAGAGACTGAAATTTACAAGACATTCTTCGGAATCTAGGTATGATTATTTTTGTATAAAGAAGAAACGCAGAAGTGATAGAGATAAAGAAAATGGAGAGTTGAAGGAAAATAAATTGAAGAAGAAAGTTAAAGAAGATATAAAAACAAAATCTAGAGATTATGTTGATAAAGTGGATCAAGGAAAAATTCGCACCGGTTGGGACACTACTGATTCAGAGGATAGTTCTTTATAAAATGTAAATAAAGTGTAATTAATTTTATTTTTATAATTCAAAATTAAAAACGCTAGTGAGATTTCAAAAGAAAATTTTGTGCAAGTTTTTTGAAAACTAGTAAATTTTTTTTTTGAAAATTAAATTGGCTTACATTTCTAAATTTTTATAATTTTTTTCATTGAAAATTCACTTGTAGATTTGAAAAAGTATGAATGCAATTTTTTTTTAGTAATTTTTTACTTGAATTTTAATTGTTAAGAAAAAATTAAAAATGTCGGCTAATTTTAATTTTATATTTTTTTTAAGGTAGTACCTCCACGAAAAGCATAATTTCGAAAATTAATTACTCAAAAACGGTGCGGTGAATTGATCTGAAATTTTGGTGGTGAATTATTAATGTATTTATTTTTCCATAAAAAAAAATTCCATAAGTTTCTTGAAATATGCTTTTTGTAGAGGTATTACTTTAATTATAGAGAAGAGAAAACACTCATCGGAACTGGCCGTGATCCGAATTTTCAAAAATCGAAATAGTAAATAAATTTGTTATTAATTTTATTTTATTTTTATAATTCAAAATTACAAACTCTACAAATAATTACTAGTGAAATTTCAAAAAAAAATCTTGTGAAAGTTTTTTGAAAACTAGTAAATTTTTTTATTAAAATTAAATTAGCCGACATTTAAAAATTTTAATAATTTTTTTTATTGAAAAAAATTACAAGAAAAATTCTCACTTGTACATTTTAAAAGTTACAAGTGCAATTTTTTACTTGAAATTTAATTGTTAAAAAAAAAAATCAAAAATGTCGGCTAATTTTAATTTTATATTTTTTTTAATTATTTATAATAAAATAAAATAAATGAAATATTTATAGACTAAAACTAAACATCACCTTATTTAAAATAATTTGAGAAACTTTGAAACCTATTTCTTCACGAAGAGAAAAAAAATTTCTAAATTAAAAGTAGACCAAATTGAAATTAAAATAACTTAATTTAAATTAAAAAAAAAAAAAAATCTAATAAATAAAATCAATCAACTTCTAATTTTCTGAAAGATCCACTGAGCCCGTGTATCGTTGAGTCACCGGAATTCAAGTCGCCACAGCCCAAGCCTTGTTTCAAAGCCGAAACAGCTCCTTCGCGTGCTTTTTCCGAGTACATATTAATGCGTACTTTCATTTTGTCATTTCTCAATAGAGTTGGTCGTGCATCCATCACTTCCTTTCTCCATAATTCTATCAAGATAAAACAGATAAATGATTAAATAAATTTATTCAAACGAAAATATTTCAACAGAATTTTCTGTCAGAGTAATTATAATTACTCAATTTATTTATAATAAAATAAAACGCTTACCAATCATCTCTTTCATGGGCATTTTACCACCATACTCTTTCGGCAACATGCTGGTGTCCATTCCCTTGGAAATAGCTTCTTCCAAATTTTCATACAAAGTCACGCGCTTCTTTATTTTGTCAGATACCAGGGACATCCCGAAATCTAGGACGTACTGCAGTTTTTTCGGGACGTTTATCCCGACGACCTCTTTATGCCTCATCGGAATAGTGCGCTGCAATAAAATAAAATAAAAGATTAATTAAAATTACATAAAATAAAATTACTCCATCGACTTTCACTTTTTATATTTGTCGAACCTCTAAATATCTAACTAATAAATTCCGTTTCCTAACAAACCGAAAATTTATCACCGAATGTCAAGCCCGGATATTGGAACCGGTTTTTATATTTTTTATTAATTTATCGTGTAACATATTCATGGATTATGTGAGTGTCCTTGGTGAGTTGATTAACCAATAACGTAACAAACAAAAGTGAAAGATTTGACATCTCTTTATTTACATAATACTGAATGATTTTAATTGATCGATGTATTTATAATTAAGTTGATTTATTCTACTAATAAATAATGAAATCTAGCAACCTTGCAGTCACTTTGTGACTAGTGAACTATAAATAAATAAAATTTTGCGTTATTAAATAATGACTTTTGTTAAATTGTACTGTAATTTCGTAAACGTTGATGTTTTTCAAGATATAAGCTCATCCTGATGTCAAACTCATCAAGAGCTTTCATTTGAGTACCCACATGCATTTTCATATATTTTTCATATATACATATATATATAATATATATAAATATATGAAAAATTGATGTGGGTACTCAAGTGAAAGGTCTTGATGAGTGTAACATCGGGATGAGCTTATATCTTTAAAAATGTCGATAGTTCACAAGATACAAGGTCATTTCTTAATTATGTTAAATTGCACTGTACTTTCTTATTAAATATTAATGTTTTTAAAGATATAAGCTCATCCCGATGTTACACTCATCAAGAGCTTTCATTTGAGACCTTTGCAATGACACTAAGTTTCATTAAAAAAAACCGATTTTATCATATGACTATCCTGGATACAAAATTTTTCTTATTCTCTTAATAATATAGATGATGATATTGAGTCAGCTGACAACTGTCAATTTTTTCTAATTTTTGCAACAACTCAATCATAATAAAAAAATTGTTTTAAAAAATTCCATCTAATAATTTTTTTTTAATTTTCAGATGTTGAAATTTTTTTGATTGTAATTGATTTTTTGTAAAAAAAAAAAAATACATCTAATGTCATAAAAAGTGACACTTACTTCGCCATTCTTAACAATGCGAACAGCTTCACGTGGTGTAAATAAAGTAATATGCGGAAATCCAACTCCAGCCCCATCTGCGAAGTGCGAAAATCCGCGCACTTGGTTTTCTTCGTCCTCCATCAATGTTTCATATGCAATTCCGTGGATTTTGCACATGTCAACGTTGGTATATTTGTATGGATCAAAAACTCCTAGAATAAAAAAATCATTCAGGTAAAAATATTAAAAAAAAAAAATGTATATAATCAATTTACCAGGTCTGTTAATAATAACCCGTCGGCCATTTGCATCACGGCCTGGTGCAGCAAAAATGTACCTTAAAAGTGAAATTAAAATAATTATTTACATGTATAAGCAGAAATATAAACTAAAAACTTACCCAAGTGATAGCAACTCATCCATATTGGGCTCATTGATATCCAAATTATTAAAAGCTGGGTGATAAACTTGTCTCAGTAACAAATATCTTTCAACAGCTTCCTGAGACATCGGTACACTGAATTTTTTAACTCTCAAGAATCTAAGAAGAAATTGAGCATCTGAAAATTTTTAAGATTTTTTTATTAAAGAAAAAATTTAACAAGTAGATAATTAATGTAGCACATATTTAATTATTTTAAAAATTCTATAACAAATAAATTATGACAAAAAAAAAAAAAAAAATAAGAAAAAAAATTGACATTTAGAAATTTAAAAAAATAAAAAATGTAATTTTTTTATAATAATTTTTTGGAAAAATCTTTTTGTTAAATAAAATTAAAAAATTGTCAAGTGACAGCTAACTTTAATGTCATAGAAAATTTGAAAAATTTTTAATCTATTTTTTTTATTCTTAATTTTTATTGATTCAAAAAATAAAAAATCTTCAAATGTCTGCTAATTTTAGTATCGTAGAAATTAATAACAGTTTAAAGAAGAAATTAATGAAAAATATTGGAAGAGCAACAGGTAAGATAAAAAAAGTGAAGCAAAAAGGGTATAATTCTAAAATAACATTCCAGGTATACAAATATTGATTATAATTTATCAATTATCAATTATTAAAAATTTTTTTTTTGGTTTTTCTCTTCTCTCAAATTTTTTTAATCTATCTTTTCTTTACAGATGTTATTTATTGTATATAAATATTAACTAAACATTCTACACATGAAAATATAATATATTTCTGTAAATTATTGCCGAAGGCATTTCTTTTCAAACAAATAAATAAACATTGATAATTTTTTGAAGTTAAGTATTACACAGAAGAAAAAATTAACTTGAATCAAGTAAATAATTTTGAAGAATTTAATTTTTTTGATTTGAGCAGAAAAATTTCTTAGACTAAGAAATTTTTCTTGGCTTAAGTAAATTTTATTTGATATAAAATCTAAAGTAGCAGATATTTAATCATCTTTAGAATTTTTTTAAGAAATAAATTAATGCAATTTTTTAAAAATCATTTTTTTGTTAAATAAAATTAAAAAATTGTCAACATGAATGTCATTTATTTGATTCAAGAATTTTTCTCCGGATTAAAATTAATTTTTTTTTTGTGTACAAACTCACCAAGACGGCAATTTTCAATGCGCTCATTTCGCATAATATAATCACGCATTTGTTCCAGAGCAGTGTTACGTCTCGACTCATCTTCCCTCAGTTCCTCCTTAGCAACTTCTTGAGTTTCTTTAGTCAGCTTACAAACGTAGGTGTCTGGCTCAGTAACCCATTTGGTACCTTCTCCGAAACCCATTGTTAATCAAGAAATAAACGAGATTTAATGGAATCTAAAAAACTAAAGTACAAACAAAGGAATTAGAGCATCAACAGCCGTAAGCCTGTGATATTATATCTTATATGTTATGTCAAGGAAACAAAGCGAAGGAAAGTGATGTAGGTCAACGTCGCCGGACCAACTGCTCACTTTCACTTTCCCTGGGTCAATGTGACCTCGAAATTTTTTTTTATCCTTTCTGGTAAGGATAAATAAGTCTCTAATTATAAATATACTTAAAAAAAAAATTTATCTATTATATATTACAGATTGACAACTAAATCTAAAGTGAAGCTAAATGTTACATATCAAATATCATTACATCAAATTACGTCCGCGAAGAAAGGAAAACCTTGAACGAAATTAAAAAATAATAACTTGTAATAATCTAACGTAATATTTACAAGATTGAATGATATAACATGTAATGGATAATATAATGTACGCGTAATATCTCGCTCCGGAGTAATGTTATGCTGCATGGAGGTAGAGATGGAGATGTGGAAGAAATAAACGGTTTAACTCGTATTAGCTCTTTCGTAATAACTTTCTCCAGTTATATAACATTTATATGTCGAGTGTTGGATATGAAGTATGGGTTGTTCACCCATCTTTCTTCTCTGAGTCACTGGGACTTTGGTTTCCTTTGGTTGGTTTATCTCTTACGAGAGAAGAGATATAAACTATTGATATTACTGTAATAACTACTTTTTTACTGAAATTAGATAGTTGTTAATAACTATTATTTCAGCTAATCACACTTGTTTTATATAGGTTATATTTACCTTTTCTTCCGGGTTGATTTATTATTCATTAAAGACTCTTTTTGATAGCGCAAAAATTTTTTTTAATTATTAAAAAGTTAATATAAAAATTATTTAATGAATTTATAATTTAGATAAATTTTTTTATAAAATTTATAATTCAGAAGAAATTCTTTATTTTATTTACTTTATAAAATTTATTTAATAGAAAATATTTAAAGTTTTAGCCAAAATTTTTAATTCAGATAAATTTTTTATAAAATTTATTTAATAGAAGATATTTAAAATTTTTGACGGAATTTATAATTTATAATTTTTTATAAAATTTATTTAATAGAAGATATTTAAAATTTTAGATAGAATTTATTATTCAGAAGAAATTCTTTATTTTATTTACTTAATAAAATTTTAGCCAAAATTTATAATTTAAATAAATTTTTTATAAAATTCGTTCAGAATAAATTCTTTATAAAATTTATTTAATAGAAAATATTCAAAATTTTAGACAGAATTTATAATTCAGAAGAGTTTTTTATAAAATTTATTGTTATTATTAAACAATACTCAAATTTATAAATTTTTATTGTGAACAATTGATTGTTATTTGTTGTTACTTGTTAAATCATAATAGGAAGTTAAATTTCCAGGCAATTAAAAATAAACGAAGAAAAGAAAAAAACTAAATTAAGAAAGAATAAACAAGTTTAAAAGATAAATTCTGGTTATCCTTGGGATGAAATTTGAATGCCAAAAAACTATCTCCAGCGGCCTTTTACTAGTCCAGAATGAATGTTAATTAGAAAAGCTATCCTTGACAAATAAATAAATAAATAAAATGATGAAACCACCAAGTTCATCTGGTAATGCTTATATTGCATTATTCGTCAGCAATTTATATTCAAGAGGGCTCAAGTTTTAAGATGACACCTGATAAATGCGGAATGTAAGTAAAGTGTATTAATATTTAACTGATGAGCAGGACAGTTGAGAGTAACTTGACCCCGACACGCATTAACGAATTTGAATTGTAATGCGCTCTCCTTAGAATAGTATTGACGTATGTTATTAGTAATCATCTATAATTTTTTTTTTTTTTTTTTTTTTTATTCAATAATATATATATATATATATAGAAAAAATGATTGATATATATGGTCAATGATTGCTAAGTAAAAAATTAAACGTTAAGAAGAAATGGAATCGCTTCGATAAATGTTTTCCGCGTGGAAAGTTAATACTTTTTTATAATACTGTTGAAGCAATTAATTATCTAACTTAATTAACATGAAGTAATTTTTTTTTTATAAAAAAATTGAATTTGATTAAATTTTTGTAAAATTTTTTATCAGCGTTATTGCTCCGTGATAAAATAGACAAAGAACAACTTGCATTTATTAAAATAAAAAATTAGTTGTGTAATATTATGTGTTAGAATAATTATATATTATGAAATTACATTTACGGTAATTATTATTACGGTTTAAATTATCTCACTGCATGCAATAAAATAATTTCAAGATTAGTTAATTAAAAGTTTTATTATTTTAAAATGACACTTTTAATTTAAAAATGCAGTGAAATAATTTGTCACGCACTAATTTTAATTTTTTTTATTTATAATAATTGAAAGTTAGCTTCACAAAAATTAATCACTTATTTTAATTAGTATTATAAAAGTATAATAATTTTGAAAACACACGTACCCCAAACGCTGTTGCTTTGCGGCAAACTTGTAAGCAACTGCCCCTTCGCCAAGGCTTGATCACTCTTTTATAATTTTGACGAGCTCCTCTCTTTCTCCAAGCTCTCGGGTACCACCTGAGGCTATCAGTTTTGTCCCAACGTCATGGTCTGCTACCGAGATTTACTTAATCGCCCAACACTCGGACTAACACTCATCTTTGTCTATGTTATTGTCATTTTTTTATTCGGTCTTTTGATCTGTTATAAAAAAAAAGGATATTAATCAACTATTTTATGATGAAAGTCATTGTCATTTTTTTTATTAGATAAATTATTACATTATACTTCCTTGAAAAAAAAAAAAAACATTACTTGTTACTAAATCAATAAAAATTTTTAATTAAATTTTTAAAAGAAAAAATAGATAAGGTAAAAGATCCAATTATTGACACTTGTAATTTTGTTTTAATAAAAAAAAAAAATAAATCATCTCTAATAAATTGATAAATATAATTTTTGAATTATAAATTTAAAAATAATTGGTTTTTTGAAAACATTTAATTTTTTTAATTAGAATAAAATTGTAAGTATCAAATAACTAGGCTTAGTGTATGAATATTATTAAATTTTTTAAATAAAATTTTTGAAAGTAAGAAATACATATAAAAATTATGAAATTTTTTATAATTTAGCCTTTATAGAAATTTTTAATTACATTGTTAAAAGAAGAAATAGATATGGATATTATAAAATTATTTATAATTTACTCTTTATAGAAATTTTTAATTAAATTGTGAAAAGAAGAAATAGATGTGGCTATTATAATATTTTTTAGAATTTAATCATTATAAAAATTTTTATCCTAAATCAATAAAAATTTTTAAAAGAAGAAATATACATGAGTAATAAAATTTTTTAAAATTTAGTCTAAAAATTTCTATACAAAATTTTTAATTTCTTCTTTTCTTAAAATTAAAGTATTGTAAAATTAACAACGTATTTTTAAAATAATAATGTACACCTTTACAAGCATGGAATGTGAGTGAATTCCATACATGTTTGTAAATTAATTAAAATTCATTAAAATTGATTACAATGAATTAAAATTAACTAAAATTAATAATTTCGTTAAAAATAATATTTATTTTATGCCGTAAGATGGACGGCGGAGATCCTAGGGTCCACCTTTACAAGCATGGAATGTGAGTGAATTCCATACATGTTTGTAAATTAATTAAAATTCATTAAAATTGATTACAATGAATTAAAATTAACTAAAATTAATAATTTCGTTAAAAATAATATTTATTTTATGCCGTAAGATGGACGGCGGAGATCCTAGGGTCCACCTTTACAAGCATGGAATGTGAGTGAATTCCATACATGTTTGTAAATTAATTAAAAAATTCATTAAAATTGATTACAATGAATTAAAATTAACTAAAATTAATAATTTCGTTAAAAATAATATTGTACATATTTTTTATGTACAAAATTACAATTATCTTAAAATAAATTCCAAGAAAAATAATTCATAATTTAATTATTATTAGAATTTTATTTTTAAATAATTTTAACGATAAATTTCAAGAAGAAATAACGACAAATAATTAAAAAATTGTAATTTTTTTACATAAAATAATTTATGTTTGTAAAAAAAAAGTAATTTATACGTAAGCAAAAAATTTTTCAAAGAAGATATGTATATGAAAATTACAAAATTTTTTAAAATTTACTCTATAAAAATTTAAGTATTGTAAAATTGAAATTCTTAAAATAAATAAGGAAAATAATTAATAATTTAATTATTATTTTTAAATAATTTTAACAATAAATTTCAAGAAGAAATAATAATAAATTCATAGTTAAAAAATTGTAATTTTTTGTATAAAATAATTTATGTTTGCAAAAAAAAAAAGTAATTTATATTTAAGCGAAAAATATTTCAAAGAAGAAATGACTCAAGTAATTAAAAGAAAAAAAAACTATAACAACTAGACATAAAATTGAATTTACTGAGTCAAAAAATATTAAGAGACAAATTTAGTGAAAGTTTTCCGGTACAATAAAATAGGAGCGAACAGCTTGATGATATCTTAAATCTAAAAGACACGGTTTTGTTAACAAGATGATATCTGGCTTATCATTTATAATTCCCTTAACTTCTTTTGCATTATCCTTATTATAATCTTCTCAATCATAACTCATAAATCATAACATAAGCCAGAAATAATTAAAGGAAATGCGTGCATTTCTCCAGCTCAACAATTAAACAGTCCATTGAGTAATATTAAAACTGAAACAATAATAAAAATGTTTATATAAACAAGGTACAATAGCGAGTAATATAAAATAGTTGAAAGCAATTGAGTGTGACTAAAAAAAGGCATTTCTATAATTTAAATTCCGTGGTCCGTACCCGTTACATCATTTAAGACATGTAACAGGTAAACATTATATTAAGTAATTTTAGCCTAAACGATATTTAAATGAAAATAATTACTTATATTTATATACATACAAACATACACATATTTATAAATACATGTTATCAATCGTAGTATTATTAGATTTTATTTATGCGTATGATTATCCAATATTATCTAAGACAATTATCCCTGCTTGCGGTGTCCGGTAAAATCCCAATTATTTATGTCCCAGTTAATATCTGACCGGTGCTTTGCTCCCAGGATTTTTTGCCAACGTCTTGGACGCGATACTTAGTGGCTAGTAACTTTCTTCTGGTTAAATATATTTTTTTTTTTTTCATTTTGCATAACTGAACGAACGTAATAATGTGTAACGCAATAATATACTTTCCTACAATTTCATGAGTTTCAGCGTTGGTATCAAACTTGTAGACACGCAACAATATTCCAAGGGACGTCCCGGTTGTTGGCTTCATATAATAATAAAAAGTGAAATTTTTATCTGTACCCTGAAAAAAGTACAACACAATGGTCATTACTATTCTTCAACTCAATACTTTTTTTAAATTATATTATTTGTTAATACTTACACTTGGATGGGCTTTAAAAAACTCATTTCATGCGCGGTCTTTAATTAAAGCGAAATATTAATACAGTTTATTTATTAAGTACTATTATTACTTTCTTCGCGTTGCCTGTCTACAGTAATTAATTATTTATAGTGAATTTTTATTACGTGTTTTATATAAAAATGATATATTGCTCGGTAATTTAATTTATTTTTCTTTATTATTTTATCAAAAATTAACAAAATTATTATATAATTTTTTTAAATTATTAAATTTATTTTTTTATATTAAATTATAATTTGATTACATTTTATCAAAAATTGATAAAATAATTATTTAACTAGTAACCTTGCAGTCACTATGTGACTGCCGTGACTTGTAAACTATAAATAAAGAAAATTTTGCGTTATTGAATAATGAATTTTGTTAAAATGCACTGTACTTTCTTAAATAATATTGACGTTTTTAAAGATATAAGCTCACCCCGATGTTATACTCATCAAGAGCTTTCATTTGAGTACTCACATGAATTTTTGATAAATTTTTCATATATACATATATGTAATATATATATAAATATATGAAAAATTGATGTGTCAGGGTGAGCTTATATCTTTAAAAATTTCAATAGTTCACAAAATACAAGGTCATTACTTAATTATTGACATTTTTAAAGATATAAGCTCATCCTGATGTTACACTCATCAAGAGCTTTCATTTGAGTACTCACATGAATTTTTGATATATTTTTCATATATACATATATATAATATATATAAATATATATGAAAAATTGATGTTGGTACTCAAATGAAAGGTCTTGATGAGTGTAACATCGGGATGAGCTTATATCTTTAAAAATGTCAATATTTCACAAGAAAAATAGAAAATTTCAGAAGAAAATAGAGCATTTTTAAATGCAGCCTAAATTCTTATCTTGATAAATTGACTATTGGTGAGAATAATATGAAATCTTGAAAAGGCACAAACTTAAGTCAAGACTCTTCCAAAGATAGCAAATTTAATCATAAAAACTTATTTTATCATATAAATACACCGGCCACAAATTTTTGCTTATTAATACTATAGATTATTTAAAATTATCAATTAAATTTCATTTAGTATTTTTTAATTAGATTGACACAAATTTTTTAACCAAAAAAACTTTTATTTTTCTTTAATTTAAAATGATAAATAAATTTTTTACATTAAATTAAACTAAATAATTTTTCGATAAAAAAAAAACTATCCAAAAATTACTTATTTCACTTAACATAAAGTTGAACTTTAGCATACGCGCCTTTACACCCGCTCTGTGAAGAGATGATACTCTTCTTAACTTCTTCAACTTGAAGATCATTAATCTTAAAATTCAACTTCCTCGCTTCTTCTCTAACACAAGCTTCCAGACCTTCCGGTCCCAAAGGTTGAAAAGCAACAGTCTTAACAGGAACATCAACCTTCAAAAAGGCTTCTTGAATAATCCTGATACTCATCTCCAAATCAAGCGACTTCCTCAAATTATTATCCACTGTCTCAGGATTTATCATCGCAAGAATAATGACCTTCGGTCTGTTCTTCTGTTCAAAGAAATACCTGACAAAGTAAACAAAATCCTGGAGATCTTTAAGCCTCAAATTTTCCAGGACCACCAAATTGGAGTGTAAGGCTGACAGAATATCATAAGCTTCAGGAATGACGTCAGCTAGCGGCGGGATGTACTCATAAATATTATGAGTATGAGGAAAATGTTTCTTTATAATTTTCCCTGCGTAAGTTTTTCCAACTCCAGTGCCTCCAACCAAGGCGACGACTTTAAAGTCCAGAGAATTTTCCTGAAAATACTCAGACAATTTTACCACAGCGAGATCTTGCCCGTAGATCTTCCGACTGAGCTCCAAGCTGGCGTTCCTGAAGTCGAACGACGGCTCGTAGATCTCCGTGATGAGGCTGGAGATAATTAAGACACTCAAGGCCACTAATCCGAAGAACAAGAGCTTGACGGACCTGGTGGACCTCGCGGGCATCACGGTGAACTCTTGGGCTAAAGGTCGGATTTTTTTCAAGTCCTCGATAGCTTCCTTGTTTTTGGAATCACCTTGAACTTTTAATTCTGGATCTTTGGAGACATTCATATCTAAAGCAGGTTTTCGGACAGATAGCGGCGAGTCTGCTCTTCGGCGGTCGTCGTAACTCGACCGACTGCGTCTATGTTTTTTTAATTCGCAAGAAGTTCCGCGACGTGAATCATCAGATATCTGCAAGAGACTTAAATTTAGTGCCGGTAGATGACAAGGTTCTGACTTTTCTTTTATTTGCATCGGAAGCTTGTTCAAGGAAGATGACTTCGGGTTTTTTACGCAGCTTGACACACGTGGGAAGCTTGTGGTCCAGATTTCTTCGCTCTGAGGCTTGCCTGCTGATGTTATTAGCGTTGAAACTTTTACTTGTCTGGAAATTATCAGTTTTTATTTTATAATTAAGCGGTTTGGATAATTATTTATGTAATTTTTTTTTATTGAAAAAATTATTACAAAAAAATAAAACAAAATTCATTTGAGAAACTACATGTGCAATTTTTAAAAAATATTTTTTAGCTTTAATTAAATGATTAAAAATAAATGAAAAAATTAAATCTTTAGTATTTTTTTTATAATTTAATTGATGACCCTGAAGTTTACAGATATTATAAGTTGTTTTATAATTTTATAACAATAAAATTAATAACACTGAAGTTAACAGACATTAGAAATTTTTTTTTAATTTTATAACAATTAAATTGTTATGAAAAAAATTTAATAAAAAAATTCCACATGTAAAAATTAAAGAAAATTATTAGTAAAAATTTTTAAAAACACTTTTAGTATTGTTAGTGATTTTTTAAAAAAATTTTTGAAATTGACAGCTGTTAGTTAACTTTAGTATAATGTTAAATTATTGTAAAATAAATTATAATACTCAAGTTAGCTGACGTTTATAATTTTTTGATTTTCTTTCAATGATTAAATTAGAACAAAAAAATATTTTTTAAAAATTGCAATTACAGTTTTTCAAATTTTTTACAAATGAAATTTTTTTTTTATTTTTCTGTAATTTTTTTCAATAAAAAAATATTCTAAAAATTTTTAGATGTCGGCTACCTTAATTTTTCATAATAAATTTAGTAAAAAAATTCCACATGTGAAAATTAAGAAAATATTAGTGGAAATTTTTTTAAGGCTTTTTTATTGTTACTTATTTGATATAAAATTATTATAAAACAATTATAAAGTAATTGTTAGATTTCTGATAAATTCAGGATCTTGTTCTATAGCTCAGAGGGTGAATTACTAACCTGACGTTTGAATTCTTGTCAAAAATCTGCTCACAGCTGTAATGTTTAACCAGACCATCAGAAGCTGTCACTTGTTGGAATATTAATTTTCGAGCTGATGACAAGTCTGTGAAGCTTGATGTTCTTGTTAAACCTTGGAAATTAATGTCCATTGCTTAATTAGCTGTCAAAAAATTATTTATTAGTTTTTTTAAATTGAAAAATTTAATAATTTTTTTATTTTTACCGACATAACCTAGTTGATTATTTTACAAATTTCGGGTTAATAATAATAAAAATTAATAAATTTAAGAAAAAAAATGATTTTTTTTAATAATCTATTGCAAAATATATATATTTAAAAGAAAATTTACCCTTTTAGTTCCATTTTACACAGTTAATTTAATTTAATTGTAAGACTTCACTTAGTTTTATAGTTTAGGATAAATATTGATGATAAATTAAATTTATTCAATTAATTTTGGAGGTAAGGATAATCATCTGGATATTTGTCATCCCATTTGGAAAAAAAAAATCTTATTAGTAAACAAATAATAATTTACCGGTACACACGTGTACGTGTACTGACAAGGATAATTAAAAAACTGCGCGCGCAAGTTTTTTTTTTTTTAGTGTAGAAACCTGTCAGATGGTTTGAAGAGGTGAAGTAAGTAATAAATGACGCTGATGAACATTAGAAATTTTTTCTATAATTTTATAACAATAATAAAATTATTGTGAAAAAAATTTATGAAAATTAATGTAGCACATATTTAATTATTTTAAAAATTTTATAACAAATAAATTATGGCAAAAAAAAAATTGACATTTAGAAATTGAAAAAAATAAAAAATGCAATTTTTTTAAATATTTTTTTGTTAAATAAAATTGAAAAATTGTAAAGTGGCAGCTAACATTAATGTCATAAAAAATTTAGTAAAAAAAATTCCACTTGTGAAAATTAAAAAAAATTATTACTTAGTGAAAATTTTTAAAAGTTTTTTTTTTTTATTGAAATTGATTTGTTAAAAAAATCGACAGCTGTCAGCTAACTTCAGTATAATGGTAAAGTAATTAATTTTTATTCCCAATAAATAAATAAATAAATAAGTATTTATCATAAGTAAACAAATAATCTAAAAATAAAATTCCAGGAAGAATATAAATCTAATTTAAGGTTTATTGTAGCAAAAAAAATTAATGTAAAAGTCGAGATGAATTTTTTATTCATTGTAACATCATTTAGCGTCATGGTAATTAATTTTATGATAAAAATACAAGGATTAATTCATATTACAGTTACTTTAATTCTACTAGTTTTAATTAAATAATATTTCATTTGTTTCTTTCTGTTTGTTTGTTTCTTCAATTAACTACTATATAGACATCGAACAATTTCACTATATAAAACAGTTGAGCATCAAATAACTCGCATTCATCGTATCTAGTTAACTAATTAATACAATGCATTAATGATAGTAATAATAAATCGATGACAATAATAATAGTAATAATAATAATAATAATAATTAATAATTAATAATTGATAACAATACCCTGCAATACATAACTTGAAGCCATGTTTATACGATGTTTTTCATTTTTTAAGTATAAATTTAAATAACTCTGTCATTTGCGGACAATGATTTTTTTCCCCATCTGATATGATTTATGTATAATACAGAAATATAATCATAATTCTTTAATCAAAATTTAATATACTTATTATTATTTTTTTTTTTTAAACTTCTTCGATGCATTCACTCATACATAATCACCAATTAACTAAACAAATAAATCTCATCCTTATAAATTTACAATTTAACAATCGGTTGGTTTGTTTATAAATTTGTAAGTGCACGTGTTTTATCTTCAGGCTCTTCTGATTTTCTGAAAATTAATTTTTAATATTTTATTAATTTATAAAAACAATAATAATAATAATAATAAATATGAAAAATTGATGTGGGTACTCAAATAAAAGGTCTTGATGAGTGTAACATCGGGATGAGCTTATATCTTTAAAAATGTCGATAGTTCACAAGATACAAGGTCATTTCTTAATTATGTTAAATTGCACTGTACTTTCTTATTAAATATTAATGTTTTTAAAGATATAAGCTCATCCCGATGTTACACTCATCAAGAGCTTTCATTTGAGTACCCACATGCATTTTCATATATTTTTCATATATAAATATATGTAATATATATAAATATATGAAAAAATGATGTGGGTACTCAAATGAAAGGTCTCGATGAGTGTAACATTGGAATGAGCTTATATCTTTAAAAATGTCAATAGCTCACAAAATACAAGGTAATTTCTTAACTATTGACATTTTTAAAAATATAAACTTATCCCGATGTTACACTCATCAAGGGTTTTCATTTAAGTACCCACATGTATTTTTTGATATTTTTCATATATACATACATATAATATATATAAATATATGAAAAATTTGAAAAAGTGATGTGTGTACTCAAATGAAAGGTCTCGATGAGTGTAACATCAGGATGAGCTTATATCTTTAAAAGTGTCAATAGTTCACAAGATACAAGGTCATTTCTTAATTATCTATCTAGAGATAAAGCATTTTCATGTGCAGCCTAAATATTTATCATAATAAATTTACTATGAGTGAAAATTATATGAAACCTTTAAAAGGCATAAATTCAAATCAAGAATAATAATAATATTTAATATTTACCTATCACTTGTAGGAATATTTTCAATGGGCTCTACATTAGCATTATCATTTACATTTGAAGACACATTATTATCTGGATTTTCTTTAACTGAATCCTTAGTATTCTTATCCTCAATGATATTAGCTGTAATTGGATCTTGATCAGCGGATGCTTCCGGGGACTTAATATCATTAGGAGAAGAAGAAGAATTAGTCAAAAAAGGAGAAGAAGTGGCAATTGGTGCGGGATTAGAAGTAGCTAGTTTGTCTGTTGTACTAGTCGTTGTCTCAGGTACTTCCTGCTTTTCAGGTTCAGCGTTAGGTTGCATGGTTGTTTGTGCAGGGTTTGCAATGTTAAGCGTACTATCAAAGTTGTCAAAATTAGCCCAGCCTGACGATTCATCTGTAGGCGATGTCGATGAATCCCAAGGATTTACTTCTGGTAGAATTGTATTGTTTGATAAAGGCTCTGGCGTGTCCCAAGCTGATTAATAATAAAGTTAATTAATAATTGTATTAATAAAAATTATGATAAATAATAAAATTAATAATTTATACTAACGATCAGCAGAATCTATCTCCATCTGAATGTCTTTAGTATCTTCGTCCTCGTCGGAAGAAATAGAATCATGCTGCTGTTGCTTGAATGGCCAATCGCGCTTATCAATAACTGTTTGGAAAGTTAGTTCGCCTTCATCGCCCCATTCAAGACCGTCTTCCTCTAGGCCGGCTTTTTGTTTTTGTTGACATATCTATTTAAATTATTAAACAATTATATTTTTCAATTGAATTTTTTAATAAAAAAAAATTATTTACTTTATTAAATGCATCTTCTTGTTGGATAAGATCTTCTTCAGTTAAAGTGAAAGGCATCGTGGCTATCTGATCAACCGAATTACTGGGCCTGTTAAAAATTTAATTTTATGTATAATATTAAATAATTAATTCCATTAATTGTTAAACAATAATAAAAAAAAAAAAATAATTTTTTATTCTTACTGCAGAGCATCATTTCCATCATTAAATTTATCGTCATATAAGCCGTAATGATCGGTAAAACGTGATGTCATTTGTTGTTCTTGATAATTTTCATAAACCTAATTAAATTTATAAAATAATTATATCCATATAAATAATAAAAATTTTAATAAAAATATTTTTGTCAAGTACCTGCTGGCAATAATTATCTTGGGAGTAAGAATTAAAATCTTCTGTGCTGTCCTCAGACGATGTGATGTACGGCTGTGTTTTTCCGCCCTAAAATTTAATTATTAATTAAAATTTATGGATGTATTTTTTAATAAATATTATTAAAAAAATAAATTACCAGGAATATTTGGTGTGTTTTGTTAATTTCAGCAAGTTGAGTATTTACAAGTGCTTCCCACTTTTCAAAGCACTCTTGAGGAACATTTTCTTTTAAATACTTGCTCAATTCTTCGCTCTTTTCAGACTTTTTAACAATATCATTAGCTATATTTATTAAATGGCCCATATAGCCTTGACGGATTCCATTTTCTTTTTTTCTGGGTTAAATAAATTATCTGGTTAATATAAATTGTCATTGACGTCAATTAAGATAATTAATTAAATAAATAAAATAAATAAAAACATACTGTTTATCGTCATTTATCACCCAGGCGTCTAGTATACGCTCGATCAATTTACACTGAACAAATATCTGTTGCAAAAATTGATAATGATATTTAATAAAATTTATAAAGTAAAAATAAAATAAGCTGATTGATTTATGTAAAAATTTTAAGCCTTACGTGCGAATATACTGAATTGCTATTCTCTTGCCACTCTCCACTAATAACTAAAGCCAGGCATTGTTCTACTTGAGTATGAAGGAAGTTATTCCAACAGTACTTGAAAAATAAATCCAACAACGTTTGGAATGTACCTAGCTCAGCGAGCTTTTGGAATACTTTAATATTCTCCGACGAAAGAAGAGCTGTTAATAATTTGGCAATATGCAGGCGGGTATTCCCTAACGGAATCTCTAGCAATCCGGCTGTTGTCTTAACTGAGGGCTTCTGTTGAGCAAATATAGAACAGAATATTTGATTATATTTTAAAATTAATTATTATTATTTTTAATTTTGGTTAATCGATATTGTCTTACAGGCGGTGGGTCCAATAATAACTTTTGTAATTTTTCCAGGTACGGTAAAGTGGCATTTTGGATTTTAATACGGTCCATATTTTCTGTTGTATCTTCACCAGAATTATTACCTTGTTTTGGATCAATTAAAATACTGAAATAAATTTTATTTTTTATTTTTAAAAATTATTTTTTCTTAATTATTAGTTTTAAATTAATAATAACTAGCGATCTTGCAGTCACTACATGACTGCCGTGACTTGTAAATTATAAATAAATAAAATTTTGCTTTATTGAATGATGATTTTTAGTAAATTGTGCTGTACTTTCTTAAATATTGACAATTTCGAAGATATAAGCTCATCCTGATGTTACACTCATCAGGAGCTTTCATTTGAGTACCCACATGCATTTTGATATATTTTTCATATATACATATATATAAATATATAAAATATATGAAAAATTGATGTGGGTACTCAAATGAAAGGTCTCGATGAGTGTAATGTCGGAGTGAGCTTATATCTTAAAAAATGTCACTAATTCACAAGATATTTGTCAAATTGCACTGTACTTTCTTCAATATTGACGTTTTTAAAGATATAAGCTCATCCTGATGTTACACTCATCGGGAGCTTTCATTTGAGTACCCACATGCATTTTGATATATTTTTCATACAT